TACTCTAGGAAAAAAGTAAAACCCACCAATTAAATCTATTTTTCCTGTTTAAAAATAATCAGATAAACATGCAGTTTTGAAGTAGAAAAAAGCTATTAATCTCTTTCAGTTGAAAAAATAAATAATAATACTTTAATTTGGATAGTGTTTTAGAAATCACAATAGACTTTTTAAAATGCTATCTAATTTCTGTCTTGTAACAAATATATGAACTACTCATGGTAGAATTTTTTCACATTAGGTAATGTGAAAAGAAGTTAAAAGATTTTCTCAAGGTCACACTGAAGGTAAGTGGTGGAGTAAATACTTATACCAGGTCTTTTGACTCCAACTCCAGTTTTCTCTCCCTATATCACACTAAAAAAAACCCTGAATTAAATGGGAAAGTGAATTCAGTTTATCAACGAATGAATGATCTGCAAACACGACAGTATTTTCTAGCAAACCATACTCATAAAAGCTCCATGTGGAACAAACTGCCCAATTGCAGAAATACAGACCACATAATAATCACACCTAACCTAAAGCTAGGAAGGAAAACTTAAAACACTGCTGAATGATAGCCTAGTTTCCCAAGGTGGCTTCCTTGACTCTATAAGAACAGTACTTTTCATTCATTATCATTATGCTGACACATTATCTCACCCAACAGATGATGGCCATGCTGGATATAAAAAGAAAAGTTACTTAAACAATTTTAGAACAGTTTAAAGGTTATTCCAACCTTTCCAATTACTGTAACTTTAAATTAATACAATTCCTACACAAAAAAGTGACTACTTCCAGTAGAAATATTGTGTTTGAAATTATAAATGTATCTACTATAATTTAAACATGTGATCACTGAGAAAAACAATGTAGGGAATGAGTGTAGTGGCACAGGATAAGTCATAAAGGAGGTGATAAACATAAGCCAAGGGTAATCATAAGTGATCCTGGAAGAAGGAAATAGGATGTAGAAAGAAAGGGTTGGAATGGCAATAGCATATCTAAAAGACAAAATCAAATTAATTTGGATGGAACAGAAAGGAGCTTTGTGGGAGACCATAAAATATTAAGTGTTATCACAACAGGTTAGGGATTTTGCATAGTAACAGTCACCTGCTCCAAGAAGGTTATGAAAATGGTTGGAAAACATATCTGGCAGCTATCAATAGCATGAGTTTATATTTGAGAAATTCAAGAATATAGCATTGAAAGTCAAAAAAATATAAAATATAAGAGCTGAAAGAAAAAAATTGAATAATTTGTTGATCAGTATTTTAATCAAAGGTTAAATTTTGCATCACTGATAAAAATATACTTCAATATCATGTAGGTGGGAATCTTGTAAAAATGTTTGTACTAAATATAATGAAGTTAGATTATAAAAATTGTAAAAAAGAAGAACTTAATTCTCATGATGGAATCAGTATCAAGAGAGGAGTTTAGAATGGTTCAAAGTCCAAAAAGACATTAATTAAGTGCAATGTATGAATTTCTGTTAGATTCCTAGTTTAAAATCTCTAAAGACACACTGTAGGGCCTATGGAGAAATTTGATATGAACTCAATATCAGATGATTTAGACATGAACTGGAGAGTTTACAACATATTTACTTTGCTCATGTAAAAATTAAGGTGCAGAGAGTTTCCAAGTGACTTGTCCAAAATTACACTTTTAATTAGCCCAAGCTCCATGTTTTAAATTAGTTTTTTTAATTTCCAATATGAAACTCATTTTACTATTAGCAATAGAAGCTACTCATATAATTATGTCTATTATATATGAAAATAAAAATAACTGAATATTTAAGACCTAAGGAAGGAAATGCTGTCTCTCGGTTACCTTTTACTAATGGAGTCAGTTGGCTCAATGGACATGTGGAGCTTGGCCACTTTCCCTCTTAGTGAGAAACATCTCTGCCCCGATCCTTTGCATCCATGTATTGCTAATACTAGAAGCACAACTGCTCCACCACAGCAGAAACCACAAATTTTCTATCTTGTTCTTCTTTATTATAAAGTTGTATGCTGCCTCCCAGAGAAGTAAAAATGTAAGAAAATCTTTGAATGAGAATAAAGATGTATAATATCCATAAACTTAATACTTTCGTGGTTTGGGTGCATTATTGTCTTTATATATCTCTCCACAGCCAATATTCAGTCCTTCTTATTACTGAGAAAATGGTAATTTGTACATAAATACTTATCCACTGTATGATAGATTTACTCAACATAGGTAGACAAAAAGTATTACATAGACAAAAAGTATTCTACAATTAACAAAGCCCTCTTTTTTCATACTATTTAGAAAGCTGAATGGGGCTACAGATATACTTTTTTGTTAGTTACTCACTTGTGAGTTACTGCATTGTTTTGAAAGAGAAACAAAGCTTTTGTTCTTCCATTTGTTTTTAAGAAAATTGTTAGAAATACACTTACATGATCAATTCTCATTGAAGCATTGAAAGGACAGTAATTGACAAAATTCAGTGATATTTCCAGCAAAATAATCCTTTCAATTGCTTTTTGACCAAATAGGTAATTTAAAAACAAAATTAGCTTCAAGAAGGTATCCAAATATATTGACTTTAGTTTACGCTTTCTGCTAGATACAGCCTCAATAGTCAATAAGTATTAGTATTTCTGAAAGCTGATCTGGAGAAACAAATGAGAAGAATCAAAAGCCTAAATAACATCCCAGATTTATGTCCAACACCCTGAAGGGTTAGTCATAGCTCTGCAAATATTTAAACTTTCTGTTTTTATTTTCAGAAAACTTCTTTGGTCCAACGTATCATATTGTAACTTTGAGTCTCAGGAATAGGCTATCCAAATTTGTTCCTAATTGTTCTTAGAGTTATTACTGAAGTAAAAATATCAATTGTTATATAGTCATACAGGAACACTGAGTAACAGAACAAAAATACAGCAGAGTCTTATTATTTTTGGAGAAAAAATGGAGATTTAGGTATAAAATTTAAACCTAGCTAGGGTCGGGGATTTAGCTTAGCAGCACCATACCTGCCTCCCAAGCACAAGGTCATGAGTTCAATCCCTGGTACAAAAATAAAAAAAATTTAAACCTAGCTAGAAGTAAATGATTTGCCCCAAACCAACTTTTTTATGATGTAACAATGAGAAAAAAAAAAGAGCAATGCTTTATGATGTTGGAAGCTAAGAATTTTCCAGAAAGCAAAATGTAGCTGGAATCCTAAAGTAGACTGATTGAATAAGCAAAAAGACTGTAAAATCATTACACCTAATTCCACTTTTGCATCCCTGTACAAAATATCCCCTCAGATGACTAGAAGGACATCATGTCTTTGTGGACATGAAGGAAGAACTCTGCCCATCCCTGCACCTTCCTTGCCAGAGGCCAGAATCCTGAGACAGGACCAGGTCTGTCCTGCTCACTTTAGTCCCAAAGCCCCATACTCTTACAAACTAGTCTGACAAATAGTGGGCACTCAGTACATATTGGCTGAACAGAAAGTGAAGGTCATATTTAAGGAGGTTCTTGAAATACCAAATAAAATAAAATTGTAGAAAACAATGAGACAGGAGCTGATGCAGGAGGATCACTGTGAATTTGAGGACAGCCTGGGCTACATAAGTGACACCCTGTCTCAAAAAACCAAAAAAAATAAATAAGTAAATGAAATTTCAAGCATAAAGAAAGAGATCCTACATTCAGAAAACTAAAATACAAAAACAAAAAATGTTATTTAAAAATGTTCCCATAAAAGTAACTTCAGAAGTAAACAGTTCAGCATTGATGAAATATTGCAAGAGAAAGGTAATACAACACACAAACAAGTTTTTTATGTATAGACAGAACGATATTTTCAATTATATAAAGACTCAGACATATAGTCCTAAAATTACCTTCCAAAATAATTGCTTGAAAGTTTACTCAAGAGATTAAAAAGAAAATTCAAATAAAGAAATCAAGATGGACAAAATATTTAAAAAATCTTACAGTGAGTGTTGAAACAAATATATGCAGTATACAGTTGTTGGTGTAAATGCAGTTGTTTAAAATACAGCTGTAAATTCTAGAGAAAGTAATGGTTTAATGAATACATGTAGAAAGGAAATTGTTATATAACTGTGATTATATATATATATATATATATATAAAAGATATAATAAGGCAAATCTAAACTAGAACTTTATACCATCAAGTTTGGAAAGCCAGGTAGCGTCACTTTTGTTTCAATCAGTTGATCAAAGCAATCACCAAGATCTTTCCATGTTCAAGAAGAGGCTACATAGATCCAACATTTTATGTGAAAAGTATTAAGTCATCTTGCAAGACAAGTGTGCAGGATTTAAAACATAGTGGTCATCTTAGAAAAGCGAAATCTTCCTCAACATGTTGGCGTCAGTTAGGAGAAATATATTTTCAAGCTTCATCCCTCCCATTAGAGCCACTTTGTTAATGGTTCCAGCCCAAAGGCAGCCGAGGAAAGCAACATACACAGAATATGGTATTTTGCCCACCTGATTATTGAGTGTCTTCTATATAGTGAATGCTCTTTGGAGCCCAAAGTAGAGAAGGGCTTACCTCAAAATCCTTTGTGCTTGAGACTTATGTACAAAGAAATGGAGCATAAATTGGTACACAAAAAGCACACAAAATTTTTCAAAGAGTTTGTCAGCTTTAATTGAAAGTGAGATGCTGAGAAATGAGAAGAGCCCTTTCACGTACTATGAACTACTATGACCAGGCACCAGCTGGATTTACTCAGTTAAGAATGCAGAGCCCTTCTTACTGAAAAGGTAGAATGATCAAAACGCAGACAGTGGGGCTATGACTCTAAGGGAAGAGCCCAGAGTTTCTAGCTTGTAGGGCTGAGTCCTGTTAGAGAAAATGGTAACAAATGTACAATGGATTTATGGTCCAACTGTGTGTGTTGTTTTCCTCCTTTGCCTACAAAGGCTTGTGCTGCCATTGTATGTCGACCATGGGTGGGGAGGAGGGTGTAGAGGAGAGAAATAGTTTCTTTGACTTACAGGTTTTCAGAGAGAGGAGCAAAGTACTCAAGGGGCCTCATCTGCACCTGGGCCAGAGTAGACAGTGAGAGCCATTGTTCTGCACTGATGCTGTAATGAGGTAAGACTTGTAGGCGGGGCAGTCCTAAGGGAAAAGAGAGGTGAGAGTTGCTTATGAAAGGGATGTGATGTGGATCGGGGCCAGAAGGTGTCTAGGAGGAGGATCTAGTGTTTTCTCATGGATGAAATCACACACAAGTAAATGTAAAATTCACAATTCAGTTGCTCCAAGTTTTTCTCCATATACCAATTGGGAACACATTCATACCTCTGTGTGTGTGTGTGTGTGTGTGTGTGTTTATGGCCCTGGGGATTAAATCCAGGGTTTCACATTTTCACATTGAGCTACCTCCTCAACCTTTTTTTTTTATTTTTTATTTTGAGACAGAGCCTAAGTTGACGAAACTGGAGTCAAACTTGTGACCCTCCTGCCTCAGCCTTCAAGACTGCTGGAATTACAGAGCTGTGCCACCATGCCTGGCTAAATCCACATGTTCAAACCAGTCATTCTCACAGAACTGCTTGCAAGTAGAATCCATAGTTGGAGCATTGACTGATTAAACATAGAATTAGAGCAAAGAAAGAGGATTTTTACAGGGAACACAGTCTGATGAAATCTAACAAAAGGCAGTGAAACACTTTACAGTGATGTCCATGTTACTCAGATTCAAGAAAACCCCCCAGAAAACGCTGGGTTCCACATTGCTAACACACATCTCTATTAAGTCCTACTTCTAATATGCTACATGCTTTAGTTAAAAACTTTGAAATATACATTCATTTCATTAAGAAACGTTCAACTAATTTCTGTCTAAGGCCCTAAGATATTTTGTAGCACTCATTATGTGTTGCTTTGATTAGGTTAATGTGAAAAAAGGTCAGCCCTTAATACTTGATGTCAAGTATAATCTGTTGTGCCCAGATCGCGAAGTCCCCAAAGACCACCAAGGAGCCGATTCCGATGCAAACACACGAGGGTCATTTATTCAAGCTTGAGCAGAGGCTCCCAACCGTCACCGACGCAGCGGATCAGAATTGAGAGCCCCGAATTTCAAATTAGCGGGGGTTTTTATAGAGGTTACAGCAAGGTTTGGAGATTTTTCACTTAGCAGTTACATGATTGGTTAACATTTAGCAAGCATGAAGTGTACATTTCTGATTGGCTAGGTTCATCGGGGGTTGAGGGGCGGTTACATGTAGGTTTTACGAGGGAAAGGAGGGACAAAGGTTAGTGGTCGACTGTCACGTACTGATGGTCAGCAGACACACTGACTATTAGTCACGACCATTACGTACTGACAGTCAGCACATCTACAGATTGTTCTATGGATAGGGGGCCCGGAACGTTCTTTTCCTAGGTACACAGAGGGTTGAGTAATTAACTTAGGAACTTTGCTTCGTTACAGATTGTGTCTTTTGTCCCAGAGCAGGCACATTTTAACCATTAATTTGTGAGGACAATAGAGACTAGGGGAATAGTGGATTTTAGCAAAATGGAGTCGCTTTGGTCTCACATAATCTATATCTACACTTCATATTTTATGAATTGATATGTGAATAACAACAGGTAAGCGCAATAGATTTACTAATTACCTATAATATAAATGTATATAATATGCAATTCACTCATCTAGCACTCAAGCCACGTCATTGCAATGCTCTTCATTGTGATCCTATATAAATCTCCTTAAACTTCCCTTTATTAATAAGATTTTGGAATTTTATTTATTCTTCATCTGCCCAAACTTCTGTAATAGGCACACCAGCATCAACATGAACAACTCATATAATAACTTAATCATGAAATTTGTGTACACTTTAATTGCAATAAGCTTAACACTGCTCTTAGCTTGTAGCATATATCTTGTCTTCAGAACTTTTCCACCTCAGATATATTAAATTTTAACAATCCACTCTCTGATCAGGACTTCTGATCTTCCCAGCTCCCTCAGGCCTTCACTTCTGCTTCAGCTACTCTTTAGCCACGGGGAAATTTAGTACATTTTCTTCATCTGCCCCTTTCCTGATCTGTCTTTCTTCCAAACCTGGCCTAGACATCACTGTTGATTATTTCAGTCAAGTCTGTTTGTATACTACAATATAACAGGAAAATTGCAACACTGATTTCAAAAATGAAATTAAAGTCACCAGTAATTATACTACAAAGCACTAGCCTGCATTAACTTCTGATGTGTAGCAGGCCTTTTCTATTGATATACGTACATTCACATGTTTTATTAGTAGTATGTGTTTGTGATACATAGTGATTACATTCAGCTTGGGTGTTTGCTACCTATACATATTGTATTTTGATCATTTTTTACTCCTTCCCCCTACCTCACCTTCTCCTCTCCCTCATTCTCCAGATCTTCTTCCCATCTCTAACAAGGTTACTTCCCTGTTTCTTAACATGGCTCCCTATTTTGCTCTGTTTATATTGGAGTCACTTACATTGGAGATACCATGATATTTCACCTTTTGTGCCTGATTTATTTCACTTAACATTAAGACTCAAGATCCATCCATTTTCCTAAAAATGACTTAAAATTATCCTTCTTTTAGCAGAGTATTATTCCATTGTATGCATATATACCAGATTTTCTTTATCCATTCAACTGTTGATGGGCATATTGCCCATATCAGTAATTTATATATTGTAAATTGTGCTGCTATAAGCGTGGGTATGCATGTGCTGTTGTAGAAGGATGACTTAGCTTTTCTGGGAAGATACTCAGGAGAAGTATATCTAGGTCAAATGGAATTTCTATATTTAGCTTTTTGAGGAATCCTCAAACTGATTTCCATAGTGGTTTGCACCAGTTTGCACTATCACCAACAATGCAGAAGTGTTCCTTTTACCCCGGAACCTTGCCAGCACTCTTTTTGAGTCCTTAATAATAGGTACTCTTACTGGAATAAGACAGAATAGTTGGAGTAAAGATAATGAGCAATTTTCATATATTTATTGGCTGTTTGTATTTCTTATTCTGTGAAATCTACACATACACATTTTTAAAAAGTACTTTAGTAATAAAACATACTTGTACTGTTTCTTCTTCTTTTTTTTTTTTTTTCAGTACTGGGGTTCGAACTCGGATCCTTAAACTTGAGCAGCAGGCGGCAAAACCACTGAGCTAAATCCCCGGCCCAATATTTATTTTTTTTTAACGAAAAATTTTTTTTGCTGTACTGGGAATTGACCCAGGGCCTTTACACTGCTTTACGTCCCCAGCTGTTTTTAATTTTTTATTCTGAGACAGGGTCTTGCTGAGTTACTAAATGGCCCAGGCTGGGCTGGAACTTGCAATATTCCTGCCTCAGTTTTCCAGAGTGTGGGGATTACCGAAGTGTGCCACCACCCCCAGCTTGTTGCTTATTTTAAGCACCATTTGGAATCAAAATTTGACAGGCTATAAAGAATGAGAAATGAGACATTTATAGCTAAATGGATGCACATTGAGGGCATACTCTTAAGTGAAATAAATAGGACACATGTGTAAATACCGAATAGTTTCTCTGGTGTAAAAAACTAAAAGTGTAAATAAGGATCAAAATGTATAATTGATAATCTGAAATAAGAAGAAAAGGTCTAAAGGGGTAGGGGAAATGGGAGGAGTAGGGGAAAGGAAAGAAAGGAAAAGAAAAAATATGAGAAAAGGAAATGGTAACAAAGTCTTTGTAAATAGGAAGGGCAGAGGAATGGGGGAAAAATACGAATCAATATACATTATGTAAAGGTACAAGATCCCAATAATGAATGTAACTATATTGTGTACCTAAAATGTACCAATAAACTTAATGAAATTTTTTTTAAATTGACAGGCTGGACAAGGCAATGCAGTGCTATAATCCCAGCACTCTGGGAGGCCGAGGAAGGGGATAGTATGCTCCAGTAGAGCCTGGACAGTTTATCAAAAGCCTGCCTCAAAAAAGTTTACAAGAGAGAAAAAAATTTAAAAGTCTGGAGATGTAACTCAGTGCAAAGGACCTGCGTCTAAGCCTCAGCACCACAAGAAAAAATAAATTGACAGAATGTTTACAACAGAAGTCTGGATTTTTTTCTAATTTCATTTTGTTTAAATAGAACATAACATCATCATTAGTCTTGTATACTGATTTTCATGGGTACCTATTATCTTTTCATTATTACTACATTCCCATTTTCAAACTACATATTACTATTTTAAAAGGAAAATCTCCTCTCTGAAAAAAGCCATTTCATAGTCCTCCCCCTCATCTTGCTTAGATCGGTACAAACATTAAAATAATTTAGATTTAGGAAACCCAAGAGTTGAAAGCTTACATGGTAAAACACCAAAATATAATCAGAATTTTTTAGAGGCTTGTTTGTTTGCTTTTAAATACAAGAGAACACATGACCAGTAGTCTTGAAATATTTTTAGCAGTATTTATTTTGTACAGTACAAAGCTTGAACAAGACCAACACATAAAATATATGAAATGGGCTCCTTCAGTTCAAGGCAGACACAACCTTATTGACATCCACCTGCCCTTGTGTTGGTCCTTGAAGTGCAGTTACAAATGCTTAGGCACTTGGAGAGCAGAGTACAGAACAAATATTTATGATTTAAACCCTTCAATGACATGGTATCAGAAACAGGTAACTCTCAGAAAGTGTTAAAAATTATCACTGTTTTATTTTTAATGATAAAGTATTTTACAATATAATTTTGTTTACATGTACCTTAATCAGTATAATTTCTGAATATTTATGAAGAATTTCATTTTTGAAAGAAAAGGCTTTGCCTAGAACTCAACAAATAACTCAAAATTTATATAATATTAATTTATTTAGCACTTCCTTTCACTCTGAATCCTATACTACTTTGGATACTAAATTTTTATTTTATGCTTAAAAAATTGGAAATGGTAACACCTTCAATTAGATTCTTTTCAATATTTCACCAAATTTAGATGCTACAAAACCCAAGCCTAAATTTTATTCATTACAGACTGAAGATAAATTTATCCAGCTAAAAAGTTTCTACAAGTCAAGATTTTATAAACTGGAATTAAAGAATTTA